GTACTGTATCATTATCACACGCCCCAGCCAATTTAATAGTTCCTTTAACTGAAGTTATGGACTAAGAGGCAAAACTGAATTGGGAATATTTTACTAAACAAAACTAAGTTATAATTAACTAAGTGATTAATGAAGCTTAAAGAATTTAACAGCATTCTTGGATGAAAATAAGAACAGAAAAAGGTTATTATCTCAGATATGGATTAATTTCTCTCAAAAGTAATTGTGAAATTGTGAAAACATTCATTACATCATTTTATAAGTGTTGAGCCATTCCCAAGGCTAAAATATTTAACATTAAAATCAGATGTCTTTTGACTCTGAGTTAGCATCACTCCAATGAAGACCTAGTGTCAAAACATTTCGATTTTACTTTTTAAATATTTTAGCCTGGTAAATAACCCTTTTTTAAACCTATAGCACCAGTGATCATTGTTGAAAACAACTATTCAATATATATATATATATATATATATATATTACACGTATTGTTGCCACTTACCAACTCACTACTCCCTCTAATTAAAGGAGAAAATGAGGCAAAGCCAGATTTGGATTAATCTGCTAGGGAAAATAACAACTGACAAAACTGCTTATTCAGAGCATTCTATTTCTTGCTTAACAATTTTAATTGCGATTAAACCAGGTTAGTTTCAGGGTCTGTTTTCATTCACCCTTCTTTTCCTGAAGTATCATAGTTTTCTGTCTATGTGTACTTCCGATTCTTTTTTGGGACCAGCAGTGGACAATGCAGCAGCGGATGAACTACCTAGGATTACAAGTACACAACCTCAGGGCAATTCATGTACAGGTGTTACTTATAAGGGCCAGATTATAACATGTCAAACCAACAAGTGTTTAACTGACTGCAGTTTACAAAACTTATCAGTACATAACTTCAATGTCAGTTTTTTTCTTAAAATATAATTTAAGATCTACATTGAGAAAACTTAATTATTGTCATATACTGCTTGACCATCACCAGCCTCTATCATCTAAATTTTCCCTTGAAGCAAAAGGACGGAGTGAGGGAAAACTAGGGTTTGATTTCCTTTCAAAAACAATATTTGAATGAGAACTCAAGGTATTTCAAAGCAGTCTTCCTGATAGTTTTCAGTCTTCCTTTCAGTTTTTTTTCATTACCTGAGCAGTGGACAGTATGGTGGAGAGTAAAGTACCCAAGCGTAAATGTACACAGAACAATATTTATTCATGGTGTTACATTCAAAAGAGAGATGATAACATGGCAGACCAACATGTGACTAAGTGTAAGAAGTGTATGAAATCTATTTAAAATACATCAATGTCAGTTTTTAAAAACAAAATTTCTGATTGTAGTGTTTGTAAGGAACATTTGGTATGCCATACATTACATAAGTAAGCACGAAATGTAAGTTGGGATTTATTATTAAAGTAGCGTGGCGGATTATTAGATTCGTGTGTGTTGTGTCCTCCGCGAACATCCATTTCTATTAACCGTATAACGTGACAACTGGCGACGAGGATGGAAGTTGCAGCTGCCCAGACCATGGCGTCAATAAAGATAGACTATTTAACGAGTGTGAAACCTTTCGATCCACATGGTGAACCTTCAAGCGTGGGAAGGCGATGGCCGCGTTGGTTGAAAAGCTTCTTCAAACCCCGTGGGTTAGTCCAGTTGTAGTAGTCCCAAAGCAGAATGACGAAATATGCCTTTGTGTAGATATGCGAAGAGCTAACGAAGCCATTATCAGAGAACGTTATCCCATACCCACAGTGGACGAAGTGCTCCAAAGCCTCAACCAGAGCACAATGTTCAGTAAACTGGATTTAAAATGGGGTTACCACCAGTTAGAACTCCATCCAGATTCCAGAAGCATCACATCGTTCACCACACATTGTGGTCTTTACCGATACAAGCGCCTCATGTTCGGGATAAGCTCAGCTCCAGAAGTATACCAGCACGTCATCCAGCAATCATTACAAGGCTGTGAAGGTGTTGCCAACATCTCAGATGATATCATCATTCATGGGAAGAACACTGAGGAACATGACAGAAGATTGTAGCGAGTTTTGGAGAAGCTGAAAGAGAAGAACCTCGCACTGAATGCAGAGAAGTGCAAGTTCCACATGACCCAGATGGTCTTCATGGGACTGGTGTTAAGCAACAATGGTATTGGCCCTGCCGAAGACAAGGTAAAGGCGATCGTCGATGCAAGAGAACCGCAGAGCGCATCAGAAGTCAGAAGCTTTCTGGGACTGGCAAACTACAATGCCCGTTTCATTCCGGACTTCGCTACAGTCGCGGAGCCATTGCGAAAGTTGACCAAAGAGGGTGTTCGTTTCGAATTTGGAGAAGAGCAGAAGAATGCATTTAATGAGCTTAAGAGGAGGTTATCAAGTGCAGATAATCTTGGCTATTTTGATAAAGATACCGAAGACACTAATCATAGCAGACGCAGGCCCGGTAGGCCTCGGTGCGATCCTCATCCAAGAGCAGCAAGGCAGGAAAAGAGTCATTAGCTACGCAAGCAAGAGTTTTTAAACTCTTGCTTCTGTAGAAAGGCGTTATTCGCAAACAGAAAAAGTAGCCTTGGCTGTTGTATGGGCATGTGAACGTTTCCATGTGTACTTGTGCGGCATTGAATTCACATTGTATACTGATCACAAGCCGTTGGAAACAATCTGCTCGAGCAGATCCAAGCCGTGCGCACGAATCGAAAGATGGATCCTGCAATTACAGCCATATAAATTCCAAGTCAAATACTTACCTGCTGATTTCTACCGGAAGTTGCGGGGCATGCTGGGTTAAAAATTGGGGGTAACTAGCTCCAGTCTCCTTTGTAAAAGACACGCGCGGAAAAAATGGCGTCGGTTTGTTTTCATTGTTTGCTTGGTCATCCCCCAGGGAAAAATAACCTTTTTTCTTGTAGTGAAACTTGAACACTGGGTTTAAATAGGCTTTATTATAATTTTAAAAGCGTGAAGCAGGTATACTACTTGCCAGCTTGAAGATAAATCGTTTAAATCACCAGCTCTGACAGAAGTTCGTTCGCGACCCCCGACTAGCCTGCGTACATCCGGTTATATTAGAGAGCTTAAGCACCAGACGTTCTTGAGGTCACGAACGCCTACCGGAAGTCATTAGAGGAACTATGTACATACTGTGCATGTCATGACGTTCGCGTAGTCATGTCGCAGACGCCAGAACGCCACTTTTCAGGTTGAAGGTAGGACGCCACAAAAATATGCTGTTATTTTGTTTATAGGAGATAAATTATTGACTCAAAACCATAAAAAGCTCTTCTGCTTTTCATTAGGTGATTAAAAAACGTTTTCGTGGCGGGCATAGTGGTTTTTGCTTAGTCGATAGATTAAACGGGATTCGACAATGGCAGACAATCTGCTCGCCAAGTCTGGGTGAGTTAAGTCATTTGATTTCATGTCCATTTGAATCATCACATGCAGAACTAAGATTTTTTTAAACCGGGTTTAAGCTTATCACAAATTACTTTGAGCGATGATTTAGAATTAAGACACTTAAGCGACATTTAGATACAATAACAAAGTGCAAAATGAGATAGATGATTGTCTTTCTGCATCGGTTGTATTTTGTAACTGCACATTGTATATCGTATGCATGCCTGCTAGGTTTTGAGCAACCGACTACAAACATAAGAATAACAAATCTCGCTGTGGTTAACGAATTTAGAAAAAGAGAAATGGTCCTCTAGGCATCCAGATCATGCACTGAAAACTTTATGCTCGCTTGTTTGTCCGCATTGTTTACACAACTATGAAGTGGTAAATTTCAAGTCGCCTAATAAATATGAAAGACGAATTATTCATTCTGTTAAGAGAGTGGGGTAAAGAAACTTATTCTCACGCTCATTAAGGTCATATCTCTAGCATCTTTTAGCAAAGACATGTTAACACGGGTAGAAGTCCGTGTCTGAAAAACGTCGACTGCTAAACCTTCCCATTTCGCGCCATGAACGAAGGCCTCGATCCAGTCTTACGCGGCTTCTCAGCCGTTCGTGTTGTCAAGAATGTCTGGTGCTTAAGCTCTCTATTACCTGTAATAACCGTCGGAGTTTAGAATAAACGGCGGTTGAACTCAGGCTATCCCCGACTGAAGAACACGAAACCTTACATTACTAATAAAATTATAAAAAGGCGATGCCAACGGCGTGGTTTTGCTTGAGATAGTTAACTGCAGTGTCGAACAAGATGCGCGTGTCTACATTTCCCCGCTATGATTTTAACAACCCGCGCGACGACTCGGAAACAGTTTCATCACGAATTATAAATGACCTTTGAATCTGGCGGAAAGGTTGTGGCAGAATTGCATCCCTGAGCAAAACATAAGGCTTAAGGGAGTTTGATATCACGTGTATTAACCCATAAAAATAGTTTGGGAAGTTAAAGTGGCACGTCGCGTGACCCCTACTGGCTTTAATACGATCACGTCATTACTAGATGCACAAAAGGTTTTAGAGGTTTGAGCATACTTCTCATCACCGTGCCCAAGGTCTTCAGTTGTTCCGACTGCAGAAACAATTACCAAAGAGGTCGTGGATTAAGGAAACATTTTCAGACCCACCCAAGCCACAGGCGTGAAGAAAACGTAAGAAACCCACCGCTGCAAGCTGTTGCTGCTGCAAACAATTTCCTGGACGTCCCGCACCACCACCGCTCTGCGAGGCTTAAAGAACTTTTGAAACTTTTAACACCAGATGAATTTTCAACTATGGTTTTGTGTAGCATTGCGAGGCACGTGCCAACTTTCCCATTTCTCTTATCAAGAAGTAAGCTTACACAGGGCTCAGTTTCAGAAAGCAAGTTAAGAGGAGAATTGGAATTCCTTGTTAAGATGGTGGCGGAGGGTTACCCAGACTCGCTTCTTTATTGCTTAAACCAAAGGTCAGTTTCTACCCTTTATTCCAAACCACATGGTGAAAGCATATCCCCAAATTATCACTCCAAGGAAAAAATTTTGACTCCACAAAATGCAGAAAATGGGTTCATTTTATTGACGATTTAAACATGCCCCAAGATCCACAAGAAAAAGCTGAGCTGGTCGACTTAATTATTTCACATAAAGATGGAGAGTTTTTTAAGAAGGCACTCATGCCAGTCATTTTTAAGAAGAATTTCAATCATTTTGTCCAGTTTGCAGCTGAACTAGTAAGTAATTTTGATATTGGCTACACTAAATATCAAAACACAGTCCGAAATCAGCTTGGTAAAGAACTAGAACATGTTTTTGGAATCAATATCATGGTACCAAAAGATGACGTATGTGAAAAGCTCAAGGTACAAAAGGAGGCTCTGCAAGAAAGTTTGTCACTGACTTTTACTGAACACAATGGTGTTGTTGCAGCATACACAAATGTCAAAAACACTATGGAATGGCTACTTAGCAAAAAAACTCTATGGGAAACAATAATGTTCCCTAAAGAGAAATTACTTGTTTATCACTACATCGATGCGTTCCCATGGATGCAGTGGAGTAAGTTCTTTACTGGAGAAACAGCAATAAGAGTCAAATTGGTGGAGCCCCACAACCTGTTAAGCTGCATTGTTACAGTGTGTTCTTGGTTAGGCCCAGATAACTACAACCATGTAAGTAATCTTGGACGAGAAACCCTTCAACAGCTGTCCAGTTTGAAGTCAGTTTATCACCCAATTCTGAAGAAGAACATAGAAGTCATTGTGCGTGGTGTTGCAGATGGCTGTCAACGAAGATCAATTACCGGAAGTTCTTCTGCCAGCTCCTGCTATCCGATTCCAGAGTCACCAGAACACCAAAAGCAACTTGGGGATATGAGAGTAATCTGTAATGAGCTTGTGTGGAAAGTAGTAATGACTGAGAAAGGAGAAGAACAGTACAAGACATGGTTGGGAAAGCGAGTGGATAATACTGAAAACAGGTTATTATTTGATTTAATGGCACTTTACTTTATTAAATTAATCATTGAATAAATTAAGCATTATTTTTTTAAACTTGAACCTTCCAAATACAGCACAGGCATGAATGATAATAGATATGTTTATACACTGTTCAACAGATACATGAATTCAGTACCCACACATCAATCATAGATAAAAACTAATGTTATTCAATGTGGAAAACTTTATTAAGAGATTTTGCACTACATGTACGTGTGTTCTATTTGGAAAACACCCTTCTGGTAATTAAAATTGACAAAAAATGTTAAATATCATTTATGGCAGACGAGAATATGCAAAGAAGCACCTTGGTCAAACTGGACATCCTAATGCTTCTCAACTTTACCTGGTAAATTTCTACCCAGCAATGATGCACCAAGCGACAAGAGCTACAGAAACTATAGTACGAAGAATTGGCCAAGTAGCTGAGGCTCTCAAACAAAATAAAAAACAATGGTTTATAGAAGTACAGAAAGTTGCTCGAAAAGTTTGTCTAAGCTGTTATGTCACATTTGATGAAAATGGTGTTTTGGCCTTCTATGAAAAAGCAGAGGAACTTTTGAACAACTCTGGTTTTAGCCCTTTGGTCAGCGAAATATTGGTAGGTTTTTGCACTGGCCTCAAAAAAATTTTCCAATGGATTTTAAACACTCCAAAAGAATTAACTAGACAGGAGTATGAATGCCAAGCAAGAGTTTTGCTAGGATTTCAATTTATCCTAATTTTTGGCTCTCAAACTGTTACTGCCACTGTGAAAGAACTTGTAGCTTACACTGGGTTTTATGTCGAAAAGGCTCTTAAAGATGCTGCCTTAAGTGGACTCCCTTTGACCTTGCACAATTTCGATGACAGCATCATGGAAATCAAACACAAGGAAGCCAAGCAAGGCAACTACATTTACAGTGGTGGGCGAGCGGGTGAAACAGGAAAGATAGCCTATCAAAAACGAGTACTCACACAACAATTCTGTCATGAATGGGCATCTGTGGAGAACCGAGAGAAGAAAGGGTGCAACTACTCATCAGACTCTAAAGTGCACAAAAAGGAAAATGAGGATTTACCAAAACATCTAAAGAAAAAGAAAATGGTATGGAATATATACGTAAATCTGTATAAATGTGACTAATGAAATAACTTTTTACCTCCATTCATTTTAAATAACTCCTAGACTACTATATACACTGTATATAGATATAGAAAGATATTTCTCAAGGCTGTGGTTGAAGAAAAATTATGAGAAACCCAAAAGTTCCTAACCATGGAGTCCTGGGGGCCAAACACTCATGCCTATTTGAAAAAAGTATTTTTTTCCCAGTCAACCAAAGACCAAAGTTAGTCGCATGTGGCACCCGGGCACATCTAGTGGACAGCCCTACTTGTTGTGCATGTTGCTGTTTAGTTGAATATCATTGACACACTCAAAATGTTCATAATACCTGTGCTATTTTGTTTAAAA